AGAAGGGTCTCCCCCCCCCCCCGGTGTTGGCACCCGTGCCAGGGGACGCGTGGGGTTGCTGCAAGAAATCATGACAATCGGCAGTTCCATGATTTCACCCCTGAGTAGCAGCATGCCAAATGTTGCTGTCGCTCAGTGTTTACTGGGCCAGAGAGTTTGTTTTGGCCCATTGCGCAACGAGGATATTTCTTATCAGCAGTGCCTCTGGCCTCGTTTAACCCTGTGTACTGGTGAACCCAGTGCTGCAGCTCCTGCTGACTGGAGCTCAGCTTGGCCCCATGGGGTCAGCCTGCCCCGGGGGCTGACGCGGCCCCACTCTGGCCGAGGTAGAACCTGCGGGTTGTTTCTGCTCCATGCTGCCATGTTTTCCGCTCTCAGCTGACATGATACAGAGGTTTTATTATAGCTGCTCCCCTTCCACACGTTCTTGGCTTGTCAGGGTGTGTAAAAGCAACATTTGTTAGCTGACAGCTGGTCTCTGGTTAATACATCTCATGCTCTCCGAGTCTGACATAGCTGGTGCCATGTGTCAAAGGAAACGTGTGGTGGCCTGTGTCTCTGTTGGTGCAGCTGCTGTGGCACATGCTTCGGCTCCACAAGAAAGGTCATGCTGGTGCAGATCCGCAGTTGTGCTGTTTAGATACGACCTCTACCCACCTTGATGTACACAATGGAGAGAACACTCCCTGGCATCGGAGCTGTAAAACTGCAGCATGTGTTTTCTTGTACGAGTGGTACATCTATGGCAGAAGCCTTACCTGCTCACTGATGATGGTTGCTCGTTGGGTTATGGATACTGGTTTCTCCCTGCTTTGAGGTGGGGTGCTCTGGGACGGACACCACAGTACCCGGCTCTCTTCATTCTTGTCAGTGTGCTGTTAACTTAAGACCGAGATGATTCTGGTCTCCTCACAGGTGTGGTACAAGGAAAGATGACATAGTTGAGGAATAGATGCCCAAAGGACCTCCTTTCAGTCTTAAATACTGCTTTTCAATTACAAATATTGCAAAAAGTCATACTTGTTAAAAGCACATCAAAACCTCAAAGGTTCCCTGATGTAGCTTTTCTCTTAAAACAGGAAGTGCAGTTAAAAAACTTCATGAATATTCAGTTCCCTCATAAACTGATTTGAAGCCAGATTAACTGTAACATGGGTCATATGATCTCAGCTAAAGCTTTAATTTGTTTCACTGGCATCTGACATGCCATTCAGTCCCAAATTTAGGGACAACACTGGCCTGTCATGTGTCAGCATAGGATCGACCTAATGTACAAGCTCAGTGGCCTTGGTCATTTACTTTAAATGGCGAGCTGGTTCAGCCTGGCGTAAAGGTCTGTGCGCAGAGACAGACAGACACATACAGACAGTGATTCAAAAGAAGTGCAGCTCTGGCCTGGAATCAACTGTAGAGTGTATTGTCCTTCTCCTCGACCTATCCAGGTCCAAAGTCTGATTCATCCTGTGACAGTATTTTGTTTGTCACAAGGTAAAGCAAAAATGATCATGTGAGGGTTACATGCAAATGGCTGCTAGATGAGAGGGGCTGTTCAGGTCACTCAGCCAGCTGTTAACATTTATTTGGACGAGGTGAAGAAGAGATTTTAAGTCTGTGGGAACTTTCTGTTGTTCCACAGAAGGATATTGACCAGAGCCCGATTAGGTTTCTTGCTAGGTATATCTGTGATGAAAAGCATGTCACTCATGAACAGGAGCATCTGAGTACAGCCCAGGTTGCTGGGCAAAACTTGTTTTAGCTAGCAGTCCCTTCAGGACAGCCTTCCCGGCACCGAAAAGCGGAGCTCTGGCTCTGTGCTCTGGAGAGGTCCTCTGCTTCTGTCCTTCCTATCTCCAGTAACTATGTTTAAGTTTGGGCTTGGGTTTGCAGAGCCAAGTGGCTCCAGCAAAGTTGTGGCCTCACCGATGTTGAAGGCAAGGCTGCAGCGTGAGCTGGGCACCTCTAAGCACCTGATTATCTTTGTCCAACAGTTTGAAACCTGCTTATGAGTATCTTCTAGTGCCGGCAGGTAACATATACCCCTCATGCAGGTGTGCTGAAACAGACTTGGCCTTCCCTTGTTCCCAGTCCTCCCCTGCAAGGGGAACTAAAGCAATAGATGGACTGAACTTTTAAGATCAGATTTAGCTGGGTGATGCTTATCCTTTGAAGCCAAGCATTTCCAAAATACAGAACACATGGCAAACTAGCTTCCTCTCTCCTTGTCACCAATATTCACATTGGTCCAAATTTGAGTGACGTGCCAGTGAACAGACTTCACAAAGGTCACAGGCATGTGATGGTTGCAGCTTTGCAGTTTGTGTTTGTCTACTGACATCCTCGATGTGTGAAGAATTGAAGGAGCGCATGTATTCATTGTGGAGGTCAGGCTTTCTGGGAGCACTTGCTAAGCTTTCCATCAAAAAATCTTAAAAAACAAACAGATTACTGATCTTTGAAGGTGATATGTTGCTTGTGTGTCAGGGCATGGAAAAAAGGAGATGTGTAATGAAGTTCAAAGTTCAGAACATGAGGAGACTTTTGAGAGATCCCACCAGCACTGGTCAAAGGGCAAAGACATTATGTTACCTTCAATGACAGACATCTTCAAACAAAGCCTCCTGCACTTAAAGGAATTATGCATGACTTACTGGCAAGATCTTGGCATTCAGTGATTGCTACAATTGCATTCTCAGACAACTTTGTTGCTGAAAAAAAAAGCAATTTTTAATTTTATATATATACACACACAAATCATTAATACTATAAAGATTTTTTCTAGCAAATTCTTTTGATGAAGATGAAGTTGGAGACATTTGGAGATCTGGATAGTCACATTTCTTTGCTGAAAGAATTAGTAGTGCTTTAATAAATAGTATTGCCATGTCAAATGTGATTTTAATTGCCTTCTAAGAAGTTAAGTACTTTTTAAAATTGAGGTGACTTTAATTTTCCATGTTAACAATCTACTGAGATCATGGAGGACCTTAGTACTCTAGAAATCATTTGTGGATTACAGAGTGACATTAAGAAGTATTGTATCTACTTATATTCAACTCATGTTTTCAAGGTTATGTTGGTAACAATGGTTAATACAAATTAAAAAAGAAACATAAAGAGGGAAGACAGAAGCACAGTTTCTACAAAGAGTCAATTTTATACAAAATGCAGTTCTGCAGAAACCTTGCGTACCCTGCGTCTTGCCCACGAGCACGGCAAACAGAAATACCTGACGGAAGTTCTCCAAATAGTACCGCTGGGGGAAAGGAGAAGAGAATAAGCTTCATAATTCTGCAGAGGCATGCCTGGGTTTAGATGTAACTGTTTTGTTTTCATTATAACTGAGTTGATTGCTGAAGCTTAAATGCAAGCCCTGACAACAGAGTAGTAATGAAGACTTAAACGTGAGACTGAAAGAAAACATGATAAGGAAAATTTGTGCAACAAATCCAACCACACAGTTTTGAAAAGACAAGAAGAGACTGTTACCACCATGCAACCCAGAGAAAACCCATGCAGGTTTCATATCACTACTTTTCATTCAGTGCAGATCATCACTGATTTTCAGGGCCTAAAATGGCATCTCTGACCTTTGACTATTTACACAGCTAAAGGCATCTGCCCCAGCAAGTGGTCACTGACTTGCAGCCTAAGTAGTGCAGAGAGGCTCACACCTTCACCACTCTCTCCTCCAGCTGGCCCCATCCACACTGCGTAGCATTTTGGTCTGAGTCTCCTCTTGCCCCATGGGGAACTGAAAGCCACAGATAATCATAAATAATAGCATTTTTGTCTTTTTGCAGTCCAGAACATCTGAAACAATGTGACTGAGTTCATCTGGTGTGGAAGAATCATAGAATCATTAAGGTTGGAAAAGACCTATAAGATCATCGAGTCCAACCGTCAACCCAACACCACCATGCCCACTAAACCATGTCCCTAAGCGCCTCATCTACACGTCTTTTAAATACCTCCAGGGATGAGGACTCAACCACTTCCCTGGGCAGCCTGTTCCAATGTTTCACCACTCTTGCAGTAAAGAAATTTTTCCTCACGTCCAATCTAAACCTCCCCTGGCGCAACTTGAGGCCGTTCCCTCTCGTCCTATCGCTTGTTACTTGGGAGAAGAGACCAACACCCACCTCACTACAACCTCCTTTCAGGTAGTTGTAGAGAGCGATAAGGTCTCCCCTGAACCTCCTTTTCTCCAGGCTAAACAGTCCCAGTTCCCTCAGCCGCTCCTCATAAGACTTGTTCTCCAGACCCCTCACCAGCCTCGTTGCGCTTCTCTGGACACGCTCTAACACCTCGACGTCCTTCTTGTAGTGAGGGGCCCAAAACTGAACACAGTATATAACTGCAGCCATTTCCAAATGGTGTGGCTTATTCAGTATTTTTGCATTTCAGTTATT